TTTTCAAAAAGAGAGTCCCTTTACCATCACGTTTAAGGACTATTTTTGTTGCAATCCCAATGAATAACTCCTTCAGGTTTTAGTGTATATAATATATAAAGAGTAAAATGTAAATAATAAAGTTCAATAGACATTTTTCACAGCTGGTTGACAAGACTAAGTGCTGTGTAATTGTTTCAAATTATAATGAATACTTCTACTCCTAACACCTTGGCAAGACAAGTGTTTGTTTTAAAAATTAATAGAAAATGAAGCCCACAGGAAGTGACAATTAAGAGCCAAATGCGCGGCTTTGCCTCACGTGGGTTATTTAGCCATACGTTTTGGGGTGTTCTTTCTCATGTTTGCAGCTTGCAGAAAATCAATAAAAAGCATGTGAAAATATCTTAACGAACACAGGGGAAATAGTGTCAGAAATCAATACTTCTCTACCAGCATGTTTAACCTGCTGAAATGAAGTGTTAATCACAGAAATAAGATACCATATTACATTTATAAACTAATGAAACTAGAAAAAGCAGAGCGTGTGACACTATCATTAAACAGCTGGAAGACATCCAAGCCTGTGTAAGTTGATAACCCTGGTACACTCTCTGGCAGGGAAAAGGCAGGTCTGCAGCGAGTCGATATGGCCAGCTCGGTTGTTAATTGAATAACAGGCAATCTATAAACAGTACTAATTGCATATGTGAAAACCTGTGTACGACTCAAGACGCTGCCTGGAGAAACACTCCAGAAAAACTACACGGATAAAGCACTCGGCAAATCTCCTGTCTCTCTCAATCCCTTCAAGTCATAGCTTCGTTTCACCACTGCCTCCTTCTGATTAACCTCTCCCCGGCCGACTTAATGATACATTTTTCAAAAGATCATTTTTCTTCCTCACCCGATACACACCACACAACTATCAATTACCCATTTCAGAAAAGAACAAACAAGTAATCTAGAAAATTCAGCCTGTGAATGGAAAGCTTTCTAAATCGTAAAAGAAGACATGGTCTTATTCCCAACAGGCAAAATGCTTTTCAGAATTGTTCCAACGCGTTCTGCAGAAGTGTGGCAGCTGCTGAGAACAGCATGGAGTGTTAAGATTTGACACTTTTTTTTTCTTTCTTCCTTAAGGATATAGCCATTTGGGGAGGCTCAGAAACTGTTGTCAGAATTTTACTTATTCATCCATTTAATAAATCCTTTTAAAATGATTATGTCAACCCTAGTGAATGCAAAACATTTCAAAACTACTGCTCTAGGACCTAAACAAACTTGATTTTTTCCAATCTGCAGAGAAGACTGCTTCGCCCGAGGGATTAGTTATGAGATATGAAATCTCCTCTACTTTAACATTCAAATCCAAATAAGGTCAGTCCAGAGCCAAGGTCATTAACATTCTGCAAGTGTCTAGCAGCTTCCAGGAAATGAAATGAGAGACGTAATCCACTCCCTGGTGGATATAACATCACATCATAAAACCTGGAACTACCAGTCAGAGAACCCTGCGGTACTCTGAGGCTAGAGGGACTTGTTGTCATCCTGGCTCCAACATGAACAAACTGTGGGCAAGAGGCTCACAGTCATGGGGCCTCAGTCTCCATGTCTATAAAGTGGGAACAGCAAAATATACCGGGTAAGGTTGTCATGAGGAACCAGATGGTATGGGCAATATGCTCTGTAGAGTGTCTAGCCTAAAACATGTTCGGCAATTGCAGAGTTTGAAAAAATAAAGCATGTATTAGCCATTATTGACAAATGGAACGGCTAAAAGATGGGCGGCACCAGGCTACCGTCAAAGAACTGAGTAGCGTCTGAAGCTGACTTCTTCTCTACCCTTCATCATGATGGAAGAGAAATTGAGTTACTTCAAAATTCCTTGAAAAAATACATATTTATACATCTCTACTTAAGATAAAAGCACACAGTAGCAAACTGCATTCTTCCAGGACTGAGGGAAACTCCTTAAATATTAGGTCTTTGATCAACTAGAAATACAAATGGAAAAAAAAAAACCCACCAAACTATAAGGGATTATTAATTAATTACTAGTTTTTAAAAAGAACAAGTTGATAAGTGGCACAGGTGTGACAGACGGTGGGCACAGGGAAATAAGTGAAGTATATGGAAGAGCTGTCACCTCTGCTTTTACCCCAGATATTTACTCCCCAGGGAATTCTTTTTTTTTTTTTTAAGATTTTATTAATTTATTTGACAGAGAGAGAGATCACAAGTAGGCAGAGAGGGAGGCGGGGTGGGGGGGGGAAGCAGACTCCCCGCTGAGCAGAGAGCCCGATGTGGAGCTCGATCCCAGGACCCTGAGATCATGACACAAGCCTAAGAAAGAGGCTTTAACCCGATGAGCCACCCAAGCGCCCCATTCCCCAGGGAATTCTTAAGCCCAAGAGTCCCCAGGCTGTTAGGAGATAGGCCTGATTTATAGTGTTTAGATACGAATTTTGGCCACTTTTACCAAAAATCAAAATTGGCAAAAACAAAAACAAACCAAACCAAACCAAAACAAAAAACCTTTTTGCCAGTTTTACCAATTCACCTGACTACCAAAAGGCATGTGAATTGACAACACTTTCCCAGACCACCCCAGTCCCAGCAGGCATTGCTCAGTGCCCTCTGTATTCACAGGCAGAATAAAAGTGAGGAAGGGGTGCAGGCTTCCGTCTCTGCTACAGCCCAAGGTTCATTTCACTGGTGGAAGTCCCCACCTACGACATGGGCACAGCGGCTCTTGGAACCTACACCTGCTTCCAGCACATGCAGCCTCTCAGCACATATAAGCAGTTAGATTTCTCATCTTACTGCATTTGAACTTTAAGAATTTGGAAACTGTCAACATAGAGCTCTCTGCTCTTGAATTAATTTTACTTCTTGCTCCAACAATCTAAACTTCCTGCTTGCTCTTAGGGCCCAATATAAACGCACTTTTAACAAATATCATACTCAGGCAAATGTGAAATGAAGCAGGGTTCGTTAACAATAGTCAATCCATTAAAATACAATCATATCCAGATGAAACTGCTCTTAGATTTCAAAAGGGGAAAAAAAAAGTATCCACCTAAAATTTCATTGCATTTTGAGTACTGAAATTTCAGCGGACATTAAACAAGGCATGACCATTTCCCAAATAAGTCTCTGTGAGGGTGTGTGCGTGTGAGCATATAAACGTTAGCCCCGTAGATCTCAGTTACATTTGGTTAATATATTTGTGCCATGAATACAGGTACCCAAAAAGACTTTGCTCAAAATGAAATGACATCCGTTACTTGAAATCAGAAGAAACTAAAACTATACAATATGGATCGTTCAATTAAACTAGAAGAGTCCCCGGGACCATTTTTTTAAAGCAGTTTGTTTTGTTTGTTTGCAAATGTGTGATCACAAGATGACAAAAAAAATCTTTTAGGGAAAAAGATTCATAGATTTTAGTGAGTCACATCAAGAAGAAAATTGTGTCTCTGCATGTCCTCCACAGAAGCCAACATTACAGAAGATTCCTGATATAGATAGATGAAAACTATTTTTCAAAAATCTTAAAATTTCTATCTTAATATAGAAAGATTTTCGCTATCCACATCGAAAAACCTGAAAGCTCCTATTACTAATTCATTTTCCCTCAAAACAATGATGAGTAGCATCCCAGACAGTCAACAAGCTTGGAAGCTGAATAAAGAACCCTTACCGTCCAGGAGCTCCGAGTAAGAGTGTATCTTAGACTCTTCCCTATAATACAACGTTGTGATACACTTGACCAACGTTCTATGGAAGTACAAAGGATAAGAATAGATGGTTTCTGAAGTAGAAACAGTACTTTGGCAAGATGAGAAGTTGGGAGAACGGGCATCCCAAAGCGAAGCTTCCTCCTAAGCAAAGCGTGAGGTTTAAAACGCATGAACTGATTTGGAAAGAACAAGACTATAAAATGCATAAAGGTGGGTTGGCGGAGTATAAAGCTGCAAAGACCAGTTGTGATGGGCCTTAGGGCGCATGCGAGATAGTTTAGAACTTCTCCCAAAGTCAACGGAGGAGACATCCCAGGGATATTCTTGAGCAAGGAGGTGAGGATGAGAATTTTAGGAGGGTCCTGGTGGCAGGGTCAGCCTGCAGGGGCACCGGGGCCTGACCTCTGGAAGCCTGTTAGAGGGCCCATGTAACTGTTTGAGTGAGAAGTTGACGCTGGTGTGACCAGGAAAATGAAACGAGAGGGGATTTCTGTGATACTTCAGAGGGAGCATGGGTAGGAACTGGATGGGATGTGGAGGGAGAAGGATCACCATAGACGGGCATACCATTTCTAGGTTGAGTGACTAGGTGGTGAGGCTATGAACCAAGGAAGGAAATACAGGATAATGCTGGAAAACTTCTGGAACTAGTCAGGCAAAAACTATTCGTTATATATGCACAGTGGAGAAAATACTATAACATCCAAACTAAAAGTACAGTACGCCTAGGTGAGCAGGGAAAAGACACCAAGTTTGGCTTTTTCCATTTAAAAAAAGCATACTTATCCTACTTAGCTAAATCCACTGCCAACACTCCACTTTTCATATGGTAAAGCTCACTAAGCTTCTTCGGTTGTAGATGTCCATCCTCTCATTTCTTTGGTTAATTATTTCCTATGGATATCCTGTATCTGTGAATCGGATCTTCCTAAACTCTAGAAATTAAATCATGATGCAAACATTTCATTCTCTCCTCAGAGAGCACGAGCGTTGGAGTTCACGTTGGTTCATGTACAGCCCTTAGAAACTATCAAGAAGGGACTGTACGATTCTCTTCATGTGAAGGCAGAGAGTACAGAGGATCAAAGGCAACTTCTTCCCATTGTGCTATAATTCGGGCCCCAAATCTTCCCGGAAGTGGTCAGTACAAAAGAATTAGAGCCGGCCTGGTGTAAAGAGGAGTCAGACTGCGGATGCAGCAGTTACCAGTGAGAGCTGGGCCCAGCTGGGAGGTATAAAAGAAGGAAAACCAACTCAGAGGAATGCATCAGTTACCTTCAACATCACAACTCAGGTAGTTCCGCACCTCATTCAAAATGAAATTGATATCTTCTTCCGAAGGAATGGGATGGTGTGTGACATCAGTTGGCGTGTCAGTAGTGCCAGCTATAGTCATCTTTTGCCAGGGTAAGAAGAAGATAACTCGCCCATCACTGGTTGCTGGATCAAGAAGTCCCATGCTCTCGGGGCTGATATAAAAAGAAGGGTTATACATTTCTGAAATTAGTAGAAGTTTAGTCCTATATCTGCATTGTAAAAACTACTTTATTCACTAATTGTCATATAAGCAAACAAGAAACACTTGAACTATTACTTTTACTGCCAATGCTCTACTGTAGAAATTCCTAAAGGAAAAAAATAGCTTTGGTAACAAAAAAGAATGGAGCAAGTGTGATAATAAAATTCACAGCAGAACCAGCCCTCCCCATTTCAACAACGCAAGGTTAATTAAGAAAGCGGACTTCACCTTCCAATTGTTTGGTTTTTTTATATTCCTTGGACCATTCACATCAGATACTGTCAGTGGGATAAATGTCTCTAACTCCTTTTATGATGGTCAATTAAGGAGAGCTCTTCAACCTTTTTTCAAGTCTATGAAAAGTATTTTCCTGGGACATTTGACATTTGGCACATCTTTCAGCATAAGGTCTCAGAAGTACATGAGAAAAGCCAGGGGTCTAAGTTTCTAGAAACTAAAATGTAATCAGAAAGTTCTTTACTCCTTTGTAACCTAGATGGACTTATACCACTTCACCAAATATGAGATTTCTCACTTTATTTCAATTCTACAGAAACCTCAAGAAGTACATCAATGAGAAAAGGGCTCATCTTATCCTACTACCTAAATAAGAATGTATCAGGACAAGGTCAAAAAGGAAAGGGATATATTAGCAATGACAGTCTTTAAGCAGAAGAAAGAGCCTAAGGTATTACGCTATTAAATCAAGGTTCAAGGATGCCTCTTCGGACAGATTACATAAAATCTTCCAAAATATTAGTCAGTAATTTTCACTAAATGTATACTTAATATTCTCAAACCAAAGCATAAAACATACTTGAAACAACAGGCAACTATAAATACATATTAACAAACCCTGTTCAATTGTGTCAGTAGATCAGTAGAAACTATTATTTTAATGTATTCATTAACCATTCAAAGAAATTTGGAGAAGTTGATAAAGGGTGGGAGGAATCTTGACGTCTCATGCTTACAGAGTCCCTGCAAAGCCTTAGTTACTGAATTCTCATAGCAAGCCGATGTTAACAGTATCTTCAGCTTCCATTAATGAAATTTCTTAAATAAAAAACATAATTCCATTTGGTTTAAGTAAGTTTCAACAAGTCCCTCCCTTACCCACAAATATTGAAGGGCAAACAGTCAACTTTTTATGTTTATTATTCCCTTGAAAAAAAATTAAAAAAAAAAAAAAACTCCTATTGATTCACTTGTGTAAGGATGAGAGACGAACAACTGTTTAAAAACAAACCAAAATAATTATTTCATGAAAAAGAAGTCTAGGAGCCCTGGCCAGCCCAGTTGGTAGAACACACGATTCTTGATGTTGGGGTCATGACTTAAACCTCACGTTGGGCATACAGCTTACTTTAAAAAAGTATAAAAAATAAAAAAAAAAGATCTACAAAATAACTTGTTTTAAAAAAAGGAAATGTATAATCAGCTTAGCTAATGCACCTTCTTTATGTAAACCACAAGGAGTAGGAGTCTTTCTTTGCAAAGACCCATCAGTTCCATGAAATGCTGCCATTTCCACACATCCTTTGTATAAAGAAACACTGTCTACAGCACACTTGAGAGACACCAAGAGAGTGGGCCACAGTTCTATTTAGCAGATACAGAAAGCACCACAGAAGCTTGTCAATCATTTAAGCTTTCAGCTAAGATCTCATCTTCACTCAGTCTTACTTAAAGAAAATAATTTACTTTCATTTTTATATGTTGAAAGCTACAAGTAGATAATATTTTATATGTTTTTTTTTGCTTTGTGTTTGTCCTAAGTCTCCCTTAAAAATCTTAAAAGAAACTAGTTAATTATGTATTTTGTAAGCAACTGATTTGATCCTGGGTTAATATACCCTTACATTAAATCAGTCACTTTGGGACTGGGAATTAACTCATTCAGAGCACAAGTTTTCCATGTCATCAACAGTACCACGTTGAAAGAAAAGGAGAAATTCCATATCCTAATGTTTAAGGAGTCCACTATATGTTGGTATATATATATATATATATTTTTTTTAATTTATTTACTTGACAGAGATCACAAATAGGCAGAGACGCAGGCAGAGAGAGAGGAGGAAGCAGGCTCCCCAAGGAGCAGAGAGCCCGATGCGGGCTCGATCCCAGGACTCTGGGATCTTGACCTGAGCCGAAGGCAGAGGCTTTAACCCACTGAGCCACCCAGGCGCCCCTATGTTGGTATATTTTATGTATGATCATTTTATGGACCAGATATCATACAAGGTGCTTAAATAACCAATAAACCTGATAAACTAACATAAAATTGTAATAGTCATCCGCCTAGACATGAAATGCTATTAGAAAAGCACAACTACTGAATCCTCGAAAACCTTTCAGTGCAGTAAAAGCAGTTTAAAGGGTGAAGGTGATGGTTACCAACACACACGTAACTGGAACCTGTAGAGAATCAACTGCTTAAACAAAGACATATGTGTCAAACATAAAATTAACAGGCACAGAGGGAAGACAAAGCGCCTAATGAATGGTATAAAATTTTAAGAATCCACTTGGAAATACCTTTCATCAGTTCTAAATTACCTAATTCATACTCTCCCTTTGGGAAAAAGTTTGTTTTCTTATGAAGGATTAATTCTGCAAGGTCACGCTGAAGTTGGAAAGCAGCTATCAACGACAGTGAAAGTATGTACAGCCCAGGGAGACAGGTCTTTTTTCAATATGTATGATTCACTTGACATCAGGAGGCAAAGCTTGTTGCTAATTTATGTGTGTGTCTAGGATTAAACATAATGAACATTTTTCTCATGCAGACCACTGCCTTCCTGAAGTACCCTTATTTAAACTGAAATCAATTTATTGTTAACTACTTAGCAATCAGTGTTAGAGCTATCAGTATGCACACAGCAATATATAAAAAAAAAAAATTGGCCTCTTGATAGAGGTAAAAGGCATCCATAGGTAGAAGGAGGAGATTATTATTTTCATGTATGTTAGTCATTTGTTGCGTTGTTGCTGCTTTTGAAAGAGCATCTAGCCACAACTCTGATGAAAATTACAGATTTGTTCTTAGTGTCAGCTAAAGAGTACCTTTAAAAATAAATGATTTCTGTTGGCTAGGTTTCCTGAAATTAAAATAATCCAAACAAGAAAGTTGCTACTGTGCACGTGTACATTAGGGTCATAACAAGCTTAATAAATGACATGATGATACTCCCAAAACAGCCCAACAGAGCATACACATGGTCCTTGCTCTATATTTTACCAGCCTACCCCCAACGAATCAGTGGCTACTGAACTCACTGCATTTCTAAACTGATCAGGTGTTAGTGGAAATGTTAGGCCTTAGGTCCCACCAGTCAGTTTATAAGGCTGCCCTAGGAGGCCTGACTCACCCCCTCCCCACCCTGAAGACCTAGTCAAACCCTTGAGCTATAATTGAGTGTGATTAATCGATGAGCCCAGAGAGGCATTTCAGTCTGACCCCACCCAAGAGAATGAGTTGATACTGAAAGCAAAACCATCCCTCTGGGATGCCTTAAGGTCAGTGCTAAAGGGGGAATAAACCCTTAATCCAGGCCATAATCCCAAATGGAGGGGCAACAGACCTCGAATGGGAAGTAGGCTGCAAACCACTCCTCTAAGGTTTCCGACAGGATGTATAGTGGTTAGAGTTCAAAGAGCTAAAAGTGGGGACATTCATTTCTTCCAAAGTAGCATGAGATCCCTTACTGCATCTGAAGCAGGCCCAACTGTCACTAACACTTTCATGATTCATGGAGAGGCGCCCTGAAGCTAATGACAAATTTGGGGGGGATTATGAAAGGCACTCCATTTTGAAAATACTACATCCAGGTGATACATATTTATATTTCTTTGAAAACACCAACCTCCTCTGTTATTAGCATGTTATGAAGTATAGTGCAGAACTATACATGTAGTGTGACCTCTTTCACGTAAAATTTTTAAAAGGACAGACAGTTGTGCAAGTATAAACACACAATTTTACAGAAGGAATCATCAGGAAATGTTATGGATTACCAGAGAAGAACTGAAGTGAGGGAAAAGGTAGGGAACATGAGGAAGAAGAGAAACTCTCACTCTTCATTTTGTATCTTTCTATTTTTCCACAGTGATTACTTTTACTTATTCCCTTTTGTACGCATGGGCTATCTGAGCACTAAAATGAAGAATCATATTTTGTTTTCATATTTTAACTTCTCTATATTAAAAATATACCTTATAGGTGTTACACTGAATTTTGACTTTAAAAAAAGCAACAATCTCAATTTGGGCAAGTTAAAAATACTCACTGGTCACTATACGTGCCAGACACGTCATGAAGAGTAGTCAATAAAATGGATACAAAATAATCAATCAGAGAAAGACAATTATCATATGATCTCTCTGATATGAGGAGTTAAAGAAACAAGACAGGGGACGGTAGGGGAAGGAACTGAAAATGAAACAAGACGAAACCAGAGAGGGAAACAAACCATAAGAGACTCTTAATCTCAGGAAACAAACTGAGGGTTGCTGGAACAGGGGGGCAGGGGGTGGGGAGGCTGGGTGATGGACCCTGGGGAGGGTGTGTGCTATGGTGAGTGCTGTGAATTGTGTAAGACTGATGATTCACAGACCTATACCCCTAAAACAAATAATACATTATATGTTAATTAAAAAAATAATTGAAGGATCACTGTCAAACTGTATACAATTTAGGTACTATCATGAGATAAATAGCCAGAAGCTGAAAGAAGTAACTTGCCAAGGTCACGCAGTCAGCAAGAGGTAAAGTGATGAACAGTAAATTCTATACTTCTGGACCAAGGTATCACCTTAATTTACCCTCTGTCTCCCCATTTTAATGATGGGTAAACTAAGGTTTACAGAATAAATTGGCCCGTTCCAACTGATGTCATTATTAAGTGGCAGAATTAACATGGGGGATAATAAGTCCTCTGATATCATGGGGCAATAGTGAAGAAAACATGAAACGTAGTACTCAAGAGATTATATTGAATCTACTAAGACCCAAACAAATATGATAATGTGTGTGTCCATAGTTCAGGTATTATATCTATAGTCTAAAAGATATTTTAAAGAAACAAACCCCTCCAAAAAAATTTACAAACGAGCTGTCCTTGCATATTTTAATCCAATAGAAAATAAATGCATATAATTATGAATGGAACTATAGTTGAAAATTTCCTATATACAAGAAACATTTGCATATTTCCATATATTTACTTCTCTCCTTCTCATTTAATTAAACTCTGGCTAGCAGTTTTTAAAACTCTATTTAAAGTACTGCAGCACACATTTTTAGTATTGAGCCTGAAAATACCTTGCTTTCTTCAGTCCTAAGTGAAAATACTATTAATGATCTACTTATTACACATAGACATTTAGAAAACTAGAAAGAAATCTTGGAAGTTGGTGGATAAGAAATAGAGTTCCATATTTTTTTGGATAGAAGTATAATATTTTTCTAGGGAGAAGTGTACAAATTAGGTGTATCTCTCCTCAGGAAAATTTAGTTACTAATAATAAATAATAATAATATTATATATAATAATTTATATAATAATATATATTATATATAGTAATATATATATAATATTATAATAATAAATAAATAATAAAACCGATAATGAAGCAGCAGTGTCACAGAACGTAGCAGGATGGCATTCCAGGAGAACATGGATGTTAAACAAAATATAGATTCTGTATATCCAGTTTATCAAATATTAAAGGATTTATATAACCTTTATGGAAAGCTACAAAAATATGGAAGAGATAACTCTCATCCTAACCACATTACCTAGAAATTAGCACCTTTAACTGTTACCCATAACCATATCACCTAAAGAGAATACCCTTTAGTATTCCTATATACCAGGACAGTGTAGATCGTACTACACATATAACCTTGTATCCTTCACTTTAACATTCTTAGTGTTTTCTAACATCATTAGCGTTTTCCTGAAACATTAAAGTTACTTATCATTTTAATTGCTGTATAGCATTCCTTTGTGCAGCTATGACATAATTTACTTATCCATTCTATTAAGGTTAGGAATGGAAGCAGTTTCTAACATTTCTCAACAGCAAAGAGTATCATAATAGATAGCTGGAGCATAGATTATTTCTCCATACAAAATTGCTAGTTTGCCTACTAGACTGACTACATACGGAGATAAAAGTAGCACACATGTTCCATACTCTTGGCATGGTCACATGAATTTTTTCCACAGAAGTCTTGACAGGTACATTAGATCTAATCATTATTAATTTCTTAACTAAAATCGCCTAAATGTTTTTTTTAATTTGTTAAATTTTTCTAAAATATGTAAACACAGAATAGTTTAATGTGCCCATCACTCAACTTAAGTGATTTTCAATTAATAGCTATTTTTGTCCCATCTCTATCCTTACCCATTTCTCCACTGGCAATTATCTCTGTTAATATGCAGATTAGGAATTATATCCAATTTTTACTTGCTGTAATATTTTTTGAAATACATTTTAAAAGTGATAAACATACACATATATGTGCAGTTCTCATTTTCAGATTCTTCATAAGCAAATCTGAGCATTTTCCGAAACTAATTTGTTGATATTTTAATTAAAATATGCCCTTCATGGATATTTTTTACCAAAGTCACTTTTAATACTTTAAAATTCAAAAATACTAACGCTCGACCTCTAAAGGTGAGTACAGCGAAGGAAGTACAAAAACAGGTACCAAATCATTAACCCCAAGAAATGGGTCTTAGTGCAAGAGCTAAGAAATTCCCGTGTCTGGATTGTATTTTGTGCTTTGGGAGAGTTCCTTCGCTTATTTCTCCTCATTTGGAACAGCAAGCTAGACCATCTCCTATTAAGAGAAGTGTGCTGGGAGACTAAATGTGGACGATTTCCCGCAGTCCCCACTCTGGCCACAGGCGCCCAGGGCATCCAGCTACCTGTAATAACCAGGCATCACGATGTGGACACCCGCGCTCGGCTGGCAGATCGCCGTGGCGTTCTTATCATCCATTTTGCGCACGGAGTCTGTGAAAGGTCCCGTAGCATTGATAACACATTTGGCTCTCACATCAAATTCCTGCCCTGTGAAAGAAAGCAGCATCGATCACATGCCCCATTTGTTTCTCTGCTCACTGATGCTTTGGGTTATTAATTCACCTATAAACTTGACCTATGGCGAAGTATATTGTATACCACACTAAGTGACACTAGCAGAGGAGTTACTGAAAAGCCACACAAAGCCTTGCATCCGAGGAAATTTACCCAAACAAGACCAAGCTGAAGAAAGAGCACACCACCTTTTCACCTCAGTCCTGTCTAGTTTGCAAAGTGCCCAGCATCTGTGGGCCAAACATGAAGAAAGTGGGATAAGTGATTAAGTGGCTTTCTCCTTAAAACTCAAATGTGGAAACAGCGTTAACATGAGCTGACATATATCTCAGTGCTGGTTCTTCTGTTCAAGGGTACGAGGTAATTTTGAAACCCTGACTCCATGGCCCTAGAATCAGGACAAGGATGAAAATCTAACCAAAGTGAAAGTGATTGACTCTAACGATGTAGAAATGCACCTCCTGTGTCACTTACTTTGAAACTTGGCACATTTATTTAATTTTATTAATAACATGTTTTTGTAAAGCAAATGGAATGCATTCATAGCTGTGGGAATTTTGTGGGCCTTTATTATTATCATTATCATTATTATTATTTAACACAAAGGGGAAAAATTGCCAAGTACCACAAGGGAAAATTTTCACGTTAAACCAGTCATTGTTGACAATAAGGAATATAATTAATAGGACTCTGAAATGTGGCTTAAATAAAAGAGAAGTGACAGAAAAATTATAATTCAGTCCTTACACTGGCAAGGCAAGACGCTCAGAAATCCCACCCTGCTCCAGCCTCGGCATACCTGTGAGCACGTCCTTGCACCGTGCGCCGCTCACTCGCTCCTTCCCCGTGTGGGGGTCTGTCTTCTTGAGCAAGCTCACAACCTCCATGTAATTGGCTGTGGCAGCCCCATACCTGGCAGCAGTGAGGGCAATGGCAAGGTTCATCCGAGCGTCGTTGTGTTGTCCTGCAGCAGGGGAAAGCATCAGAGGAGGGACAGGAGTCACCTCGAGCCACAGACTGGTGGTACAGAAGTGTGTCACAACAGATATGTCACGTCGGTCCCTGTCACCCGGAATATATGTGATGGCTGGTTGGCTCTGTGGGGCATGGTTTCAAACTAGTGGCCATTCTCGGTCCGGCATTTACCCGCCCCGTCACCAAGTGCACTTTGTGTCCCGCAAAAAGGGCAAAATAATATATAGATATATAGATATAGATATATCCCTTTCCTCCAAGAGCTCATATCGGTTATCTGAAAATGAAGAAATAAGTAATTATTCTCACAGTTTGGGAACATATGTATATGTCAGACTTTTCCCAATACAGACAACCGTATGCACGCAAGTGAAGCAATTCAAACCCTCAGACTATCTGACACCCCAACTGGTGTTGATTAACAATCTCTAGGAGTATGTGCTCTATCTAATATTCAAAATCAAGAGCTTAATCTTCCATAGACAGTCTCTCAGTATTCTACAAAAGGATTTTTCTTGGTTTGACTTTGATCAGAGGTCCTGAAAATGTAACATTTTTTTTTTAATCACACATAAAAGGTAAGAAATTAAGCAGGGCAAAAATTTAATTACAGAACAATTCCTACCTGTATTGTTAAAGATTTATTGCTGAAAAATCCCAGTTAAAGAAAACTAAGGGGGAGGGGAGGGAGGGAAGATGATTAATCACTTTAAAATACTGGCATCACGAGAGACGTTTTCTATTTATTGTTGCCAGTGGAGTTCACGCTGACCAGGAAGAATTACTCTACATTGCAGGGGCCAGGTTCTCTGTGCCCTGAATAATTAATTACCCAGGGCTAGATGTATTGAATCAGGGTTCAAATTCCCACACAGTGGGATCAGTTCTATCAAGATAATACTGATAAAGGGATGAATTTGTAATGGATATTGTTGTTGATTTATGTTGCCAGCATACCAAACATTTAGTATAAATGGTTTATGTAAAGTTTCTTCCTTGTGATTCAGTCTGTGCAGGGCCAGAAGCCCTACATAGGTAATCTGCTCCAGCTAAAAGGGCAAAGTTATAAAGAGAGAATCAATGACCCAAGAGTCTGCTACCTCTCCCCACAAACGTCTTATTCCCAAACTGTTGAACTAATATGATCAGCCAAGAATCTTTCCCTCTACTTTAAGTCCTCTAGCAGTGGAGAACATACATCGAACTTCGAATGCAGAATAAGGGGTTATTTTATCCAGAAATTAATAGGATGGAAGTAGGAGGAGAAAGGAACAAGAGCAGGCGTAGCTGAAGGGTAAGCGGGAAGAAAAGACGGGCAGCATTTGGATCAATTTCAACTCAGCATGACCCTCGAGTTGCCATTAAAATAGTCAGCAGATATATTTAAAGTTAAGTCTAAGAAACCAAATCCTATTAATGGAGGGCTCATTTAAAATTGGAAGTTGTACTATCAAGTTAGAGGCAAGCAAACAAACCAAAGAAACTAAATAAGAATTCCATTATAGATCTTCTCTCTAAACTACGGAGATTACGCATCTAAACCAAAGAGAGTAGCCATCCTGTCCAATCCTTCTACTAGATTTATGTACATAACGATGAAACGCCCTATGGGTGGCACAAGAAATCCAAGTCACGTTGTTATGGAGGAAAATACACACTCCACCAGGTGGCCTTGATTTATATACAGGACAAGTCTCCACGTGTAAGTTAACTATTTGAAATCCTATATGAAGTCACTGTTCAGAGGAACCAGGCAGAAATCCCATTTGTTGATTTTTTCTTTTTAAAAGATTTTATTTATTTATTTGACAGACAGAGATCACAAGTGGGCAGAGAGGCAGGCAGAGAGAGAGAGAGGAGGAAGCAGGCTCCCTGCAGAACAGAGAGCCCGATGCCCGGCTTGATCCCAGGACCCTGAGATCATGACCAGAGCTGAAGGCAGAGGCTTAACCCACTGAGCCACCCAGGCGCCCCAGAAATCCCATTTGTTAACTGACAGATTATTTTGTAAAGTAGTATATCTAGTACACAGTTATCTAGTAATTAAACTCGAATCTTTGAAAATCCAAAATCTCTCGTTTATAACCTTTTCAAAATATAAAATCTCAATGGAACAGCACTGCTATACTGTATCAAGCTCTGTTGCTTCTATACTAAGAAATACCCCCCTCCATTAGCTCCAAATCCCGATACTTTTTAAGGTAAACAAGAGCGACCTCAGTTAAAAGCGTGAGAAGGAAAGAAGTTTCTTTGGTCCTTATTTTCCATTCATTTTCCATGCCTGCCCTGCTTCCTGGCAGTCCTGACGTGTCACTTACTTAATGAACAAATGTCTTCACGCTACGATCCTCACCTGTCCCAATTCTCCCACTGCCATTACTCTCACTCTCTAGGCTTATCAAATTTTTGCAACTCGCTCAACATTCCTGCCATTTCACACCTTCTTGCCTTTGTCCCCACTAATACTTCTCTGGCTGCAATACTATTCTAGAAGCTGAGACAACGCCTATTCATCCCTCACGATCTGGTTCAAATAACTCCCCTCGAACTCCTGCCTTCCCTGAGTCCCTCCAAGGCAAAGTTTTCCTCCCTTCTCCAGAGCCAGTATTATATCTTGTATCTACCTTTTTTTTTTAAACAGGCTTTATGATATTATATTTACCCACGTATCCATCAACTTAAAAAAATAAGAAGTCTTGATGATGACTAAAGCACTGAGACAAATACAGGGAACACACCAGTCTCTGAACTCACTCTGAATGCCCAGTACCATTGCCATACCATTTCCCACCTCCTCATCCCAGTCATGCGAAGTCAGGAAGTCCTTCTCGCTCAGCTTTTGTTTTGGTTTTTCCTTGTTAATACCAGACACAGGCAGGTATCGAGTACGTGTTAAGTTTAGCCGAATTCCATTCAGTGAATGAAATAAACAGAGGTACTTGTAGTCTCAGATTTACAGACTTGGAGATTTATATCAATTTTATATAAATTCATAAATTTTTACAGTCTTACCTCTAACTATGAAATGTTTTGTCTCACGTTAAAGACATTTCTGCAAGTTGGTGGCAAGAAATTTGAGGGAAGCAGGAAACCTCAGAAAGGTGGAAAATCTGAACGTAAACCCAAACTAACCCTCATATTTAAGCTGAATCAAGTGGGACAGGGGAGAAATGGTTATGAATGATTCCCTCAAGACTCATCCTATTTCCCCTTTCTCTGCAGGGGGGGGGGGGTGCAGACACAGCTATGGTAAGTTCTTAAAAATTGAGGAGTAAGCATTCTGACTTTCCTCTGGGCCCAGGAGCTCACACCTCCACCCCAAAAGTCGCCTTCCTTGCAGACATTCAGCTTAATTCATTTACCTCCTTGGATTCATGATAGACATCCTCCCCTATCCAATTTAAATTCACCCTTTACCCTGAGACACCCAGATGCTCTCAGTGTATGCTTCCCAGGAGAAATGGTAAATTTTCACTATTCTTAACTAAATTCCCCTCCAACCCCCTTTACTGACATTTTGTAAGTTATCTATATGCCTCCTGTAATTTTACGTCTGGAGAAAAGAAGTTTTTGACAACACTGCATGTCATTGGAATGTGATACAATAATTTCAACTCACCACCCCCCACCCACCCAATTGATCTGCTTATTAAGTTTGGATTTTCCAATCCGTTTCCTGAGAGCCAGGCAACATGATACTAGTCACTGATCAGTGAATAGCATAGCTTTACATTGGCACTTACACAACGACCCAGACGGGGACTGTGAAAATCTGTTTCCTACTCTATTCTCCTTTTGCACTTGAAATCTCACATATGTGCACATATTGAACTTATAACTCATACGAGAGGAAGCACATGAGAGGTGGAACTATAACTGTTTTCCCTTGTTTAGAAAAGCACAATATTAAGTCAACCTACCCAAAAGAATGAAGGTCAGTGCTGGCGGAGAAGGATTTCGTCTTAATTCTCAATGGGCCCTGCGTCTAGGATAGTGAGAGATACTTACTAGGCAAAAAAATATTTCAGAATGTCACCATTTAAAAGATCGGCCTCAAATGTAAATATTTTGGAGACATAGCAGTATTGCTCTCCTCAGAGGGTTTCAAAGTTTGGCAAACTAAGTTAACAGGCAAAACCGCTGAAAAAGGGAGAGAGAATCCCTGAATGTGGAAAGGATGTGAAGAACGAGTAAATATGAAAAAACCCTCGATGACATATTCCCTGGCATTTTCCTGGTCCTTCAGAGCTAAAATCATACAATGCTTTTAAATTCTACCTACAGTCTTCTTTTCATAGGGGTACTTTTAAAATGGCCATTTACAGGGCACAGACATAACTATGGACCCAGGAATCTGTATAGAAAGACTACAGATTAAAAAAAAAAAAATCATTCTTAATTAAAACAACACTTGCCCATAACTCAGCATCAATAAAAACTGCCTGGCCTGGGTCTCTTGGAATCACAGGACTCCTGCTGAGGTAGGGTGGGGTGGGGTGGGGGGAAGGATGCTTCAAAGGAAGAACACTTCCTTAAAGCTCTAATCCCATTCCAGCAAAATCCACAGGGCAGGCTTCATTGTCTCAGACTGACAGTGTCACAATGACCTCTTGGGCAGCTTCTCCTTAGCAGTCTAGCAAAGATAATTCAAAGGCTAACCTACTAAACTCGAGCTGATTTAATATAATCATTATACTTAAAATTTCCCTCTCTGATGGCAAGAGTGCAAGTAGAAGCAGAGTACAAAAGGGGTGTGTGTGTGTGTTTGTGTGTGTAAGGGTTTTACAAAACCTGTTTTAAGTTCATATGATGAATAAAGTTGAAAACAAAGACTCAAAATGAAAATATACTTTTCACAGTAAATTGTGACAATAGTGCAATTTCCAAAAGTAAATTATTTAGAAAAGTGATGATTTGTGTGGGGAGTGGCAGAGATCAGGGAGACTCAGGAAAGATGTACCTTACCAGATACTGTGGAGAATGGCTCTG